AATCTCTTTTCAGCATGTTTTAGTCCACGCAAGGTTATGAAACGAAGAATCTACAATCGATTAGTTGTGATTAATGAGATGTATGGGTGCGATAGGTCGACCATAGTGTACCTTTCTTTCTGACAATTCTCATTTGTATGTTCCAGCCAGTTCGATTCAAATCAAAATTATGTCCCTTGTTGTTAGCATCCAATTTACTTGTTTTATAAGAGGAAAAACACGCTCAATAGTCCATTGTAAGAGGTTGGACCGGGAGAATGCATTTTACAGCCCAGCACCTGTACGGACTTTAAAACAGCTCAATCAATAACGCGGCCAAACTGTGTAAATTCGTCCAACGCCTGAGACAATCCTTCGGGGGCGAGGCTGTGTTTTTACAAAATACAACAGGAAGATGAAAATTATGCTCTTGGTCTGCAACAGATGCTAAATATTACCCACGCAGATGCTAGCTGCTGCCGGGTTTGGGGAACTTCCATTTCTCAGACAGGAAGGAAAGAGAACTGTAAGTGCATCGTGTGTGTTTTGATCAGAAATAGGAGTAGTTTTATTCGTCAAAAGTGGGAGCAGCCAGTTTCCATGTCAGAAGATTTAATATTGATTTTCCTCTGATCTATACAAGAAAACCTTCATCTGTCTAATGGCCCCATAGACACTGGTGATACTGTTATTTTGCCTGTTTTACGAGAGATGTGTCGCTGCTGGGCTGTAATTCACATTTATTTTGTCAAAAAGATTAGCTGGTGATTATTTTTTTGCATTAGGTGTTTAGATATGAAAAGTGTTTTGTTTTTCTACATTTGTCAAAAAACAAAAGGTCAAGTGATTTGGGAGTAAAGCTGGAGATGGTTTTTCTTAGAGCTTCCATAAATATGTTTAGTTGTTTAATAGTGTAGACCTTCGATGTCGGCTTTACAACATTGTGAAGCAGAATTCACCCAGCGTTGGATTGGTTCACCCACTAAAAGGTAAAGGTGCACTTTATTGAACCCCGTAGGGCAATGACCTCTGCATTTGACCCATCCTGATGGCGCTAAGGCTTACGTCAGGAGCAGTGGTTGCCGTAGTAACAGCGCCCGGGAGTCCACCTCCAGACGTTGATGCTCGGCTTGGTCAGGACCAGAGCTGGAGGATTTAACCTAGTGAGCATGTTTTTAGTGGTAGGGGAAACCGGAGTACTCGGAAACCTGCGCAGGCACGGGGAGAACATGCAAACTCCATTCAGAAAGTAAAGAGAATGTGATCGATAGTTGAACATATAGTAAGTAAGTAATCTTTATTTATATACCGCCTTTTCACTGCAGATCTGAGTCTCAAAGCGGTTTACAATTGTTAATTTTTGGGCATTTGTCTCTCACTCCACACAGAGATGGGAGCGAGGCCAGTACAGGAGGCGCATGCCAGAACTATTGGACATATTTTTAGTGGTAGGGGAAACCGGAGTGCCCGGAGGAAACCTACGCAGACACAGGGAGAACATGCAAACTCCACTCAGAAAGGCCCTGGTCCGACCGGGATTTGAACCCAGGACCTTCTTGCTGAGAGGCGAGAGTGCTATCCACTCAGCCACCGTGCCGCCCTATTTCAACCCCTATAGTTCTGTCCTCGGTCTATGTGTTTTCGGTGGATTTCGTTATTTTGCAGTTCTGTGTTTCTGGGCTCATTTCATTTTACTCACATTTAATCAATTTAAAATAATGCAATTGGTGTAAATGAATAACATCTATGTGAGGAAGAACACCTGTCTTGGGCGCTACAGATTCTACTAAATACTGATCACTGCTACAGCCATTTCTGCCATGTCTTGTATCCCCCACTGTTTACGCACATCTATAGACTGTATAATGCATTTATATTAATGTCTGTGCAAAAAACCAACACAGAAAATGCTTTTTTTTCTTCTCCTGATTCCCGAACACCTGCTGTAATAAATTGTGTTGCAATTACCAAAACCAGGACGTTTTGGTAATTGATTTGATCGTGCTCACTTAATTAAAGCGGCATTCTTCTAAGGTAAGTCATTTTCCCCGTGGAGCCATTTCTTTTGTGACGGCTGCGTCTCTTTGCGTTGCCATGGCGATAAATGCGGCGGCCCTCCTTCAGCTGAAAGCGAAATTAGATCCTGAAAGGGTTTTTCGAATCAAAAACACTCCATCATAAAAGTCTGACTTCTGGTTTTCATCAGATGGACGCTGCACATTTATAGCCCCTGAAACAAGAGCATGCATTTTTTAATTTAGTTTAGTCTAGTTTATTTCAAGCCGGTACAATACTAGACAATAAGAAGAAAAATACATTACGATGCCATACAATATTAACGTACCATTGCGTCACCATGGACTTAATTTCTTAACTGCTACGCGGATGACACACGCGTTGTACTGGACTCCACCCTTACACAATCCACTGCAGAAATCCTCATCCTCGCCTTCATCACCTCCAGACTGGATTACTGCAACAGCCTCCTCTACGGAACTCTGCCGCCCGCCTGCTCACCCACACCTGCTCCAGAGAACACATCACCCCTGTCCTCAAACAACTCCACTGGCTCCCTGTTCCTTACCGCATAGAATACAAGGTCCTCCTCCTCACCTACAAGTCCCTCCATAACCTGCTCCTTCTTACCTCACTGACCTCCTCCAACCTCCTCACTCCCATCAGAACAGAGTGACTGTAAACTTCTCACTTCTGTGTCTCTGTAAACTTCTCACTTCTGTGTCTCTGTAAACTTCTCACTTCTGTGTCTCTGTAAACTTCACTTCTGTGTCTCTGTAAACTTCACTTCTGTGTCTCTGTAAACTTCACTTCTGTGTCTCTGTAAACTTCTCACTTCTGTGTCTCTGTAAACTTCTCACTTCTGTGTCTCTGTAAACTTCTCACTTCTGTGTCTCTGTAAACTCTCTGTAAACTTCTCATTTCTGTGTCCATGGGTTAAAGTTGAAAAAATTCCTGAGCCTGAACCATCTATATGAATCATAGAATGATCACTAATAAGCGTTTTTTATAAGCGGCCAGGGGTTAAAGCAAAAAAAAAAGATTTGACTGAAAATTTTCTCATGGAAATATAATGAATTACAGATCAAACGAATTCTTCAAAGATATACATTTAAACTGGTGTATTTTGATGTGAAATTACAACCAGTGGATCAAGCAACTTGTCAACTCTTTGACAGAATATTAGTGAAAGTAGTTGGATCTGCATCATTGGCTTTACTTGAGGCGAGATGAGGCGTTGTCCTTTGGCTCTGTCCTCGTCAAAATATCGCAAAAGGACATTCAAAATTCTGTCCACATTTGTTTGTGGACACTCAATGTTTAAGAAAAAGGTTTCCCTATCAACTTGGTGCTAGTGCACAGCGCAGTTTTATCAACTGCAAATGATTAATGATAATTAAATCTACCAGCGGTAGTGATGGTTCTGAACGACAGGTTATTTTCTGCGATAAAGCCACAGACTCTTAGTTTTAGGTCACAGACACAGTCCACCAGAGCAAGCCTAGTCTCAGTTGTCGCTGAATCTGATGCACCAGGTAAAGAAGTGTGGGAAAGTGCACGGACAGCTGCCAAGTGCGCAGTTTTGAGCTGGTGGTGAATCCAAAGCTGTTTTCTCATTACTCCCATATAAAAAAATAATAATAGCGAAGTACGAACAAGCACCGGACACCTTCATCTTTTTGCACCAGGAAGCAACAGAATCCCATCGTCTCCACCTCATCCAGCCATGCCCACCTCCATTTATTTTTCACTGTTATCAACAGCAACTTATACAGCTCCTTCTTCCATAAACAACGATCCATGATTGTGATTGTGCGTGCATGCTAGGCTAGCTTTGATGAATGAATATAAGACCTGCTAACACACACCTTTCTTCAGCGAGTTTCTTCCGTTCGCTCTCGTTGATTGGCTCTTTTTATACGCAGTTTTGCATGCGGATCGCCACCAAGATATTATCAAAAGCTCACCAAGACATGCTTGTCCCCATTCCCAGTCACAGCAAAGTACATATTGTACATTCCGTTAAATAAAAAAGCATTGCGTTTGGTAAACGTTAATTATGTCCTACCTTTCCTCTGATAACGCGCCTAGCTTACCGGTCCGCGGGCTGCTGGCTGTTATTGCTCCGTTCGGGATTACATTTTCCTTGTCCTCTTCTCCTTTTCAAAAGCTCCGTGCACTTTTCAGAAACTTTCACCTCCGTGTTACCATCGCTAACTTGGCTACGTCCCATTGCCTTGAATCATTTACGGAGCGCTCATGTAGCTAGCCACGGCACGTTTTTATTTCTATATACATATAAATACAATTATATTCAAATTATTAATATATATCTAGATATATACAACAGATTCACACATATTACTATATATTTTGTTATAATTAACCATTTCATTGTGTGTATTATATTATTATTATATATTTTGTTTTTTTTTTCAGACCAATTTCATTTGACGGAAATCCGTCACTTAGACGGAACTCTTTAATCCCTGCGCTATACACATGCAATCCTTTCATACAATTGGTAGAACACACTTGAACCTTTTTCAAATGACAGCAATCATTATTTATTTATATATATATATATAAAAAAAAAAAAGGTGATGTTTTTTTTTTTTTTTTTTCTCACGCCGGATTTCCGGCACGGTGCCGGAAAACTTTAAGCCCTGTGTGTCTCTGTAAACATCTCACTTCTGTGTCTCCATCAAACCAGACCTTGAGGATCACGTTTTCCTCCAAATGGACAGTGTCTGGAAGAGAATATCAGCAGAAGGTCACAGTAGCATGAATAAGAAATCAGGTCACTCAGAGTCCAACTCCTCTCTCTTTTTATTGAACAGGGTCATAGTTGGACGAGCTATTTTCGACTCTATGTTTCATTCATAACTGCAAACTGCTGCAGTCGAACTTAAAAAGATCAGACTGGTAAAACAGAGGATGTCAAGGTGATGAACGCACATGCAATCATGGTCCGCGTTTTTCATTTATTAATTATAGTGCAATGATTAGTCACAGTCACGTCCAGCCGGTACTGATCCAAACAACAACGACACAACCTCACAGCCGTGCCAACACAGGCCAACACCGGCCAACACTAGCCAACATGTGCCAACACCGGCCAACACCAGCCAACATGTGCCAACACCGGCCAACACCAGCCAACATGTGCCAACACCGGCCAACATCAGCCAACATGTGCCAACACCGGCCAACACAGACCAACACCAGCCAACATGTGCCAACACCGGCCAACACAGACCAACACCAGCCAACATGTGCCAACACAGACCAACACCAGCCAACATGTGCCAACACCGGCCAACACAGACCAACACCAGCCAACATGTGCCAACACAGACCAACACCAGCCAACATGTGCCAACACCGGCCAACACAGACCAACACCAGCCAACACCGGCCAACACAGACCAACACCAGCCAACATGTGCCAACACCGACCAACACAGACCAACACCAGCCAACATGTGCCAACACCGGCCAACACGGGCCAACTAGGAGTGTGACAATATATCGATATGGTGATGTATTGTGACACTTTCTCATGCAATCGATTATTGATATGCTTTTGCTAAGTATCGTTTAAAAAAAATAAAAAAGTATTGATACTTAATATATGGCAATAAAATGCATTCTACAATTTCTGTAGAATGTTCATATTGATTTTATTGGCTGACAGATTGGATGACAGATTAAGTAAGAATTTTCACTAAAATGGTTAAAAGGCATTTTTGCTTGTTCACTTTAATGTTAATGACACTTTATCCATTTATCTTGAAATAAAGTGTATTTTTGTCACTTAATTTATGCCATAAATAAGAAAAATATTACCGTAGGTATATTTTTGACCAATATATCGATAATCTTTGCATCGTCAAATCGTGAGATAATCGTTATTGTGAGCTTTGTATCGCACATCGTATCGTATCGTGAGGTTCCCTGATGTTCCCACCCCTAAGGCCAACACAGGCCAACACGGGTTAACATGTACCAACACGGGCCAACACCCATGTTGCTACACAGTCCCATTACTGCTGCTGTGAGACTGCCTGATTAGTTTGGTTTATTTCAGTTAAAATGTAAATAAACCTGAGCTCACCTCATCTTGATTATATCACATCAATTACGAGTCAGTGTCACTTTCCTCCTCACACTATAAAGTAAAAAAAACAATCTTCCAAATCATTGGTCAGATACATTCTTAGAAAAATAGGCTCCAGCTCAGTCTAAGTTACTTTTAGATGAGGACTGAAAAGAGTTCCCAAAATATTGTCCGTGTTGGCAGAAAAGTCCAGTCTGAATGATGTTCTCCTGGGGGTACAAATTAAAAACCGAAAAAACATGAAAAATAAGTTGTGTTTGGGCAAGAACTTCACGATCAAAGGAAGCAGTAAGTGCCTGAACATCGTAGTTTCATAACTTATCAGTGAATCAGTCCAGCTCTTGTGTGACATAAACATCTGTGCAGTTTTTCATTTCCCTGTTAAGCGCCGGCTTCCGCACAGCTGCAGAACTTCCAGTGGAGCCTCGGCTGCAGCCAGAGCAGAGTCCTGTTCTCAAAGGCAGAGGCCGGGTGACTGATAAAAGGCTTTTCTGGCTGTGAAGTGTGCCGGCCTGTGCTTCAAACCCCAGCCCCCAGAGGACAGCGCTGGTTTGAAGTGCAGCCCCGGCCTGTCGCTGGTGTCACATCACATTTTCCTGCTCTCACAAAACGCAGGTCATCATTTTTCTCTTGGACATGGACTTTATATAGAGACAAATCCACTAATAACTCATATAAGGAGGAATAAGCAATGTTTTACTAATATACGTTTGTGTAATCATGCTGTTTTGTTCTTGAAGTAAAATACCCAAAGCTACATCAAAAAGACAGTGGCTCAGTTGGTAGAACAATGGCCTTTACGCCTGAAGGTCGTAGGTTCGATCCCACCACAAGACCTTCTCCATCGATTCCCACTGATGTAAGTAAGAAAGTAGGTAATCTTTATCTATAGCGCCTTTCACAGACCAGAGTCAAAGCTGTTCACAATTGTTGGCATTTGTCTCTGACTCCACACAGAGATGGGAGCGGGGCTCTTACAGGAGGCACAGATCTATTGTACATGTTTTCAGTGGTAGGGGAAACCGGAGCACCCAGAGGAAATCTACGCAGACACAGGGAGAACATGCAAACCCCACTCAGAAAGGCCCTGCTCTGACCGGGATTCAAAACCCAGGACCTTCTTGCTGAGAAGTGAGACTGCTATCCACTCAGCCACCGTGCCGCCCACAATGTCTGCTATCGTTGTGTCCTTGGGCAAGACACTTGACCCCACGTTGCCTGAAGTCCCGCTGAAAGACCAAGGCTGTGTCACGGACGGATCAGCAGCCATCTTCCTGTGGACCCACCCCCTGCCGGAGGATCAGCGAGGGACTGGTGCTGTCTGATTGCCACACCCCGACCCAGGAATGGACTGATACAGGGGTAGAAAATGAATAAATGAATGAATGAAGAAATCAACAGGAAGATGAAACAAAAATGACAAAGAGTTGGAGATAAATCCACAGGGTCTCAGTTGGTAACGGATGTATTGTGGAAGCTCGATCTGGGAACAGTATGTTACCGACCGTGTGGCGCCGTGAAAGGAACTCATCCGGCCTTGGACACGATGCTTTGGACTGGACAGGGATGTGGTCATTTCAGTGAAACGCAGGATAAAAACCAATCTGCGAAATGTAAACGCTGCTACATCAGCAACCGGCCAACGCTCCACATATTGATCCGTGGGTTAAAGGGGGATGACTTGGATATTCTCCAGTTCTAAAGATAATTCCGAATCTGAAGACTCCAACAAAAAGCTGAACTATTTAAAAAATCTTTCTTGTAAGTGAATCATGAATTTGTCTGATAATAACACTTCTTCACAAGCTGTTATGAAAAGTGTAATGTTGTTCAGTGACAGAACATGGACTGAAAAACCTGCTGCTATTGCCACTTTTTATTGTATATAATTATATCCAAATACAACAGTGTGCCAGTTCAAATCCCAAAGTTAGCCCAGAAAGACTTGTTTAAAGGAGCAGTATGTGCAAATGTGGCCAAAAGTGGTACTGCAGCCTCTCCCACTCTCCCTGACTCAGGTTGCCAGATATGCAGACGAATCCAGCTGGGACCATAACAGCTGAATAGACAAGAGTTTTGTCAACAACAAATCTATAACCAACACCTTTTTCACAAAGATAGATATCCTGGTTTTATTCCTTGTTTTGTTGTTAATGATTTGAGAATCATAACGAAACCTTTTTTAGTTCTGCGCCACATGGTACTTTACCAGTGAGATTAGATCCACGCGGTGAGTTCTGGCGCCCGGTTCACAGACTTTCTGATTGGTGAAACGGTGGAGGGCGGGACATCGAAATGAATACAATAACAAGATTTAGGGGCTGGAAAAGTAATTTAGAAATTCAAATAACTCTGAACTACTGTTATCAGTTAAAGAAGTATTGGAAAAGAGCAGTTTATTATTATGACAGATTAGGGCCCTTTAATGAAGACAGATTAGGGCCCTTTAATGAAGACAGATTAGGGCCCTTTAATGATGACAGATTAGGGCCCTTTAATGATGACAGATTAGGGCCCTTTAAGGATGACAGATTAGGGCCCTTAAAGGATGACAGATTAGGGCCCTTTAATGATGACAGATTAGGGCCCTTTAAGGATGACAGATTAGGGCCCTTTAATGATGACAGATTAGGGCCCTTTAATGATGACAGATTAGGGCTCTTTAATGATGACAGATTAGGGCCCTTTAATGATGACAGATTAGGGCCCTTTAATGACGACAGATTAGGGCCCTTTAATGATGACAGATTAGGGCTCTTTAATGATGACTTGACATGAAATTCTTGCATATAGCTGCTTTAACTATACACACTTTGACAGAATAGATCTGATTGCAGTGAAAAACGTGCACAATGCTGTTCGTTGAATCCATTAAAATGACTTTCTGGAGCCTTTATAACATAATTAGGCTCTTATTGTGTTTTTTATCAGTCGTCAACAAATCAGCAGCAGCTTCACGCGGCTTGATAAAGATGTAACCGAGCAGAGAGATAGGCATCACTCAGATGTGCACTATTGTTCCCCCTTTTACCATTCTTTCCCTTGACCCCCTTCGACTTTAATCATTTATTAATTTCCCCCGTGGTCTGGGAAAGGGCTCACGGTCTGAATTTAAAACTGCCAAGATCAGAGGATCGGGGTGTCACTTTGGAATATGTGAAAGAATATACTATGCGCCGCTTTCATCCAATCAGCCGAATCCACCAGACGAGCATAGCAATAAGGCTTCCAGCGATTGGGTTTTCCTGCGGTGAAACTTTGCGAACACTTAGAGGTGATTATTCTACTCTGGAAAGCAACGGTGTTATACGGTTCTTATACACAGACACTCCCAGATACTTCACATCCAATAATCCTTTCAGTCCATACGCAGCGGTGGAAACAACTGTGTAACGGTTTTTAAATGAACAATGTTCCAACAAGTGTCACAGATTATCACCACCAAAGACAAATATTCTCTGTTTTGTATGTAGACATGTTTTAGTAGACATGGGGGGTTGGTTAGCTTATTATTGTACATGTGAAGAGTTCATTTGCAAAAACAGATATCTCCGTTTTGAAAATGTGTAAAAATGTTGTATTTCTTTAGCTTTAATAATCAACATGTTTTCTCATTGGCAGTACATTTCAAAGGATTTGCTCAACAAGGGGTGAACATCTGTATGGTACTCAAATGCACCTGACTTTTCTTGGCAATGAGCACATTTTCTTGGTAATTGGTGAAGGGTATGTTTTCTTGGTAAATCGCAAATTTTCTTGGTAAAGGGCATCTTTTATTGGTAAAGGGCGAATTTTCTTGGTAAAAGGCAAATTTGCTTGGTAATTGGCAAAGGGCATATTTTCTTGGCAATGAGCAAATTTTCTTGGTAATTGGTGAAGGGCAAATTTTTTTGGTAATTGGTAAAGGCCACATTTTCTTGGTAAAGGGCATGTTTTATTGGTAAAGGGCAAATTTTCTTGGTAATTGGTAAAGGCCACATTTTCTTGGTAAAGGGCATGTTTTATTGGTAAAGGGCAAATTTTCTTGGTAATTGGTAAAGGGAACATTTTCTTGGCAAAGTGCAAATTTTCTTGGTAAATGGCAAATGTTCTTGGCAAAGGCCATATTTTCTTGGTAAAGGGCATATTTTATTGTTAAAGGGAAATTTTTCTTGGTAAAGGGCAAATGTTCTTGGCAAAGGCCACATTTTCTTGGTAAAGGGCGAATTTTCTTGGTAATTGGTAAAGGGCATATTTTCTTGGCAAAGCGCACATTTTCTTGGTAAAGGGAATATTTTCTTGGTAAAAGGCAAATAAGTAAATCTTTCCAATATTTTTTCTAACGGTGATTATCTTTTTTTTGCACATTAACCATTCATTTCTCCT